CCTGCTATTACCAAAATATGGAGTTCTGTATAGGGCGATCAAACACAGTGAAATGTAAAAACATCAGAGCTGATCATGTTACTTTGCTGGGAAATTTGTCACCTGTCCCCTGACAGGTGGCAGAACACATCTTCAAACTTACCTAACAAAAAAATCTATCCATCTTAATCCTGGAAGCCTCAACTGACCTTCAGCATCCCCACCCATTTTGGGAAGGGGAAATTCTTCCAAATTTCCACCACCCTTTGTGTGAAACTGAACTCCTTGATTTCAATCTTAAATAGTCTGCTTCTAACTTTAAGATTATGTGCGTTTAGCATCCTTCCACCTGAAGAGAGATGATTAACACAGCCACTGATTGGTATTCCTATTTCCCCCTTTTGGCAGCCAGTGCCTCCCACATGGGGATTATTGATGTTTGGGGCCTGCCTACCAGACCGGCAAGTATCCTTGAAGCCCACTGGTCATCTGATTTGGACAACCTCACGACACCGAGGTTTCAAGATTTAAGAATTTTAAGATTATATCCCCTTGTTCTGAGATCCCCCTGAGAAGAAATAATTATTCCCTGTCTAGCAAATCCCTTTGTCACTTTAAAGACCTTGAAGAGAACACACCTTAAAACTTCTAAACAGAAAGGGAACACAAGCCAAGTTCATACAGATTGTCTTCCAAATGTAACCCTTAAACATTGGTAACAAGTTTATTAGAGCTCTTAAATTAAAATTGCTTCCAAGACAGGTCAGTCCTAGATTTTTCGTCATAATTCTCATATTAAATAGTACGTATTAAGTTGCATGCAGTTTTTGAAAACCAGAATTAGGGAAATGTTTGGGAAATCAGATAAATAAATGAGCCAGATTAACTACATGCTTGGAACCTCTCAACTAAAACACAGGGCACAGTCCCATCAATTATATCTTGATGGTTCTGACTACAACATTGACACAAAGAAAGATGAACCTCCTTGATTCTCAGTCATTCCCCTTGAAGGGGTTGTGACAATATGCAGAATGGCGAAAGCATTTCTGCTCCTCCACTACTCCATTCTGTGCTCTGATTATTTCGCATGAAAAACACTTGTTGTGTTCACCCATTAGCTCCTGTACTTTCTGGTTATTGGCTGTCTGTCCTCCCCTGCCTCAATTCTAAATTTATCATCCTCGCTTTCAAACCTCACCAAGCCTCATCCTCTCCCCATCTATGTATCCTCCACCCCCCATCTATGTATCCTCCTCCAGCTTCTGAATTCATTACAGTCGTCCAATTCTGAACTTCTTGCACATCTCTGATTTCAATCAGTCTACTGTCAGTCTTTAACTGCCTGGACATTAACTTTCCTCTAACATTCCATCTCTCACTGCTCCTTTAAAGCTCCCTCTTTGATCCAGCATTTTCTTATATCTCCTACCTACCTGATATAGCATGGTGTCAAACACTGCTTTGACACATCTTGGGGAAATTTTACTATGTTAAACGCACTACATAAATGCAAGTTGTTGCTGTAAAGTAGCATTATTTTAATCCATCGCCAGAATGTCGGCATTTTTATTCAACGCTGACATTCACTGTCCATTTACCTTGCTTTTTACTGCTTTATGTATCTCCGTGAGAGTTTATAAACCCATACATTGCCTGCTTTCAAAGCTAGATCTTTGCTGAATAGACAGACATACCAGGGTATAATTTTTCAGAAAGTGAGCACTTTCACTGCGAAATGCGTGCACCAGTGCACTCTTCCCAACAGTGGAGTCACCTGGAAAACAAGAACACATTCAAAAAGGAACACCAAGAAGCACAAAGACACCACAGCACACTGTATACATATGCTGGTGATATGGTTTGACTCGACTGATCTACAGGATTTCTTTTAACAACCTAGTTATGAACAAGAATTCAAATTTTATCCTATTTGAGCTTTTGAATTTTCCTTTACGTGTCAGGGAATACAAATTTGTTTTCATGAAAGTAAGACAGCGACCAGTGTCACCGTGCTGTAAAATTTTATGCAATTCTGCACAGCACAAGGTAACATTTTCATTTCTACTTTCATTCCTGAAGCTGACACACAGTTTGGATCCATAGGTAGGTGCAAGCAGCCAATCTCACTGCGTTGGCATCCCACTCTTCACAATATGTTGGCAAAAGGTAGAAAAGGCCAGCAGGAACCTTCCAGGGGGATGTAAGTTAACGAGTAAAAAATGTCCCTCAGAAAGTTCTTAGAAAGCTGAACTCTGTGCCAAAAGCTGAACTTAATGTGCCAATTCAGGTCAATCCAGAGTGTTAGCCAATGCTGATGTGTTTGGAATGGTGAGGTAAAAACAAAAGACATTCCCGGATCAAAAAACACTTGCAGAAACAAACCATTTTCCAAAGGAGAGAATGTAGATATTCAGCCATTGCTCAGTGGGAAACATTCTCACCTCTGAGTCAATCTCATCAACATTTATTTCTCAATCAACATAAATGAAAAGCTAATTGATTATCCAGTCATTATCCTATTTCTGGCTGGTTCCTGCAGTACTCTACAATGAAAAGTCAAATGTATGTCACAGACTGAAAGGTACCCCAGGCCATCCTGAAGACCTGACAGGCACTATAGGAACGCAGAGATAACAAGGTGTAGAGCTGGATGAACACAGCAGGCCAAGCAGCATCAGAGGAGCAGGAAGGCTGACGTTTCGGGCCTAGACCCTTCTTCAGAAA